CTCCCACAGCTGCTGGAAAGACTCATGATGGGCGGCGCGGGCGTGCAGCGCGGAAGAGATGTGGTAGGTTTCGATGTCGCGGTCACCAGCCGCCGACACGTCGTTGGTATCCGGAATACAATCACCCATTGTAAAAGAAGACTGACAATCCGCAACACCCAGCGAGTGATGACAACTTTGGTGTATTTGGCGATGTGAAATCATCAAGAGGTCGTGCGGAGGGGGAGGTGGGGAACACCGAACGCGGATTGAACATATTGACTCGCTCTGAGTTGGCTTATTGGGACTGATGGCTATCCGGTTACACCAAGTGACAGCAGTTTCATCTGATCAAATATTTTGATCGAAAAAGGGGGCATTCCCAGCGTTATTGTCGGCATGTCGGACATGGACCCTAACCCTGTCCAGCTGCCTGACCACCCGACCACGTGCTGGCATCTGCCCACATTCCATCATCCACTAATTAACCAATGCCAGACGAGCGTCTCAGAATAATCGACTTCTATGCAAAACGCATCCATGGCTTTGTACTCGACGACACCGCATCCTTTGTGTTCCATACTGCAGAATCCGTTTGTATTGCCGGAACCGGCTCGAGCAAATGGAGGCCACGACAAAGAAACACCCGGCGTTAACTGCCCAAAGTCAACAACAAAATAGCACCATGTCGCGTACGTACCCGACCCGCCGGCCGTCCAAGTGCTTGCTGTCTGATGACCGGCGACGTTTGAACTCACAACATCACCAAGAACAGCACAAGCGCCATGTCTTCGTATTCCTGGCAGGGGTGGGCGCCTGGTGATGGCGATGTGTACGACGACACCTCGGATGAGAGCTACCATTATTGGAACTCGGACTCGGACACCGAATCATATCCAATGGCCAAGTCGTTACAGAGTCAAGACGAAGTCCCAGAACCTCCATCACATCCTCCCCCAACTCCCAGACCGGGGTTTGCCCAGCTTGCTACCAGTACGGGCAAGACACCCATTCCGCCTATCCCGCCTATTCCTACTACGAGCGGAAATACCAGCATAGGCCCTGTCAACGACCCCAGCAGTACGTACTCTGGTCCTCCTCAGCATGATGGCTCAGGGGACATCATCATCACTGACGAGATGGATATCAATGACATTGAGGCCGCCATCGACGCCAGCAGCGAGATGGCACTCGCACAGGCAGACGTGACCACGGGCTCCAATCCAGTTCAAGGGGGAAATTCAGCGAACGTGGATCCTGATGAAGATGTCAACATGAATGGTGATCCGGATAGCTTGTTTGACGGGACAACAGCTGGCTTGTTTGAGGGTACAACAGACTTGATTTCTGACCTCATTGGGGACGATACATTAGGGCCTGCGGACGCTTCCACGCCCAAGAGGTTTCCGGTCCAGCAGACACAGGTTCAGCAAGTCGACACGACGCAGGTCCAGCAATCCGACACGGCTCTTCAGGCTCTTGCAGAGCCGGATCATGACTGGTGTCAGCTGGCAATCATGCTCCCCCCCAGAACTTTTCGCTTGCCGAAAACGGGCGTAGATGAGAAGAATCTGGATTCTACCCTCTGGCTTGACCAACAAAAGGCCGGTTTTGTCTATATGCACACCCTGAAGCCACAGGCGCCGACTGGCCGCGCTCTGTTGGTGTGCTCAAGGCAGACTGGGGAGCTCATTGTCAACAAAAACATTCATGCGCACCCCTTGATGATTGATTGGCGTTGGAACGAAAACTACAGACGATGGTGGCATTCCAATCCTGACGAGGCCAAACGGGATTATGCCGGGACCATTCCGCCCGAGATCAAATTTGCCCGGCTTGACGATCCGCTGGTAAAGCGACGGCTGCCAGAGGAGGGGGTATATCCAAACTTGTTCGGTTTTGGCATCAGCAACGGCCGAGGAGGCGTAGAGTATGATTCTGCCTTCAGGAGGCCGCTATATGTTGACGAGTATTCGCTGTATTTCAAGCACTTCAACGGGTACAATCTCCGGAGTATCCTGGCATATGCCACGCAGGGTCCAAAGACGGCGCAGCTTTGGATTGATGAGTATTTCATCTGGCACGTCATGGAGCAGCTCACGTCCGCTGTAATCTATATGCAAACGGGCATCACACGATCGGAGCTGAAGGCAGGGGATACGAGGAAGAAGGAGAATTGGAAGCCGTTTGTCCACCGCAACATCCTCCCCGAGCATGTCTATCTGCACTTTGAGGAAGCATGGGAGAGGGGTCAGAGTGAATTTGACGTGAATAAGCGGGATGAGGACCCGGCGGAGAAGGGCAACTATGTCAACGAGTCCCTTCGGCGCGCGTTCCCTCGTGTTGTGCTCGGTAGTTGGTCGCAGGCCAGCGAATTACACAGCAGCGAAAAGGTGTACAAGTACAATCGTGGAGAGCGCAGCCAGATCATGGCAAGGCTAGGGAACAAGGACGTCGATGACCACACGGGACTCAGGCCCGAGCTTTGGGAAGACATTTATCTTCTGGGGGCCGTACTCCGACGCTTGGTCACTGTGTGGGATGCGCGCAAGAGGGAGGAGGAATGGGAGAAATCGTGGATAGACTACAATGTCGATGCGGGAGAATACACCATCGAAAACGTGAGAACTCCCGGCGGAAACAAACCGCACTACTCCGAGGACCTTTATGATATCCTCGAGCTATTCCAAGTGCGCTCCAAAAGAATCCAAATACAGGACCGGGCGAGCTGGGCGGATGAACGCTACTGGACCCCAAAAAGGTTGCAGACAAAATCGTTTGTAGATGTCGACATCTTGATTGACGTCGTGTTCCCCATAGCGCGTTTGAAAGTGCAAAACGAGAAAGCTAAGTTCCGGGCGAACGAGGAAACTGGCTATATCAGCATACCAGATACCCTGATGCACGGTTGGTACGCGCTCACGAACCGCATTGACCTGATCCCGTACACGCCAGAGGGCCAAGACATGGAGGAGGTCAAAGGAACAAAGGTGGCGTCGCGGGAGCTTCAGTTGGTGCACGGGACCAAGTATCTTGTTTGGTACCAATTCCACGCCCCTGTCACCAGCGAGCTGAACCCTGGGATCACGGACTGGCTCGCAGTTCCGTGGGCGAAGCAGGCCATGGAGCAGCCTGCCAAACTATGGGGTGAATATTGGAACCAACACTACAGCGATGAGATTCGGGCGGCCAATATGGACACTCCCGAACGCGGGGGCAGACATCGAATTGGTGATAATCATATGGATGATTCCCTTGTCACGGTGGATGAGTCTTTGACGGGCGAAAGGAGAATAGCGCTCGAGAAACACAAGAGAAAGGGTGGATTCAAGCCGGACTGGCGAGTCCAACGGCCTGTGTTTGAGGCACCAAGAGGTGATGCTGCAGAGTCTGACGCTGACGAGTATGAAGGCTACGAAGCTCGCAAGGATGCCCGTGTCCAAGAATGGGACGAGCTCATCGAGGCTGCCAACCCGAGAGATCCCTTCTTGGCACTCACGTTGGAACAACACCTGAAGCTGGGTGCTTACGATGGATGCGCCGGGCGAAGCGCGTGTTGTGGCACCTCTACCCCGTCGCATTGCAATACGACGACAGCGCGGAGGTACGAAACGAGGAAGAGAAGCTCGCTAAGGATTATCTGGAGATTATGAGGAAGGAGGTGGAGCTCCAGGCGACAGGACGGGAGGTGGAGGAGACACCTGAGCAGCGGGCTATCAAGCAAAAGTATCACGCCATGTTGGAGAGGCTGGATCCAAAGGGCGAGTACAAGGTTGGATTTGCGCACAAGTTTGCGGCTCCACGGGAACCTACGCCGCCACCACCACGGCCTCCTCCTCCTCCTCCGGAACGGCAACCCACACGCTCCCAAGGAACACAAGGGGATCCGTCACCACTACCACCCTCTCCCACCACAAAGTACAAGAGGGAGGATGAGGCGCGGAGAATAAACAATGATATTCTGGCCACGCAGCATAGACTCCTGAGAGACAGGTTAAAGAAGGTCGTCGACCAGTACACTGAAGCCCAACACAAGAGAGACAGGCTTGAAACGGATGACCATGAGTCGGAGCAATATCAACGATTTGTCGAAGCTTCAGAAGAGGTCAAGGAGCTGGAGGAAAAGATGAACCTCCTCAAGAAAGCTGATGACAACCTGCCCAAACCGGAACAACTTGACCGGCAGAAGGAACGTTTGCAGAAGGAGATCAAAATGTTCCGCAGACGCGCTGCCGAGTTCAAGAGGGCGGCAAAGGAGCAGATGACACTTCGCAACGAAAAGACTGATGACGCAGCAGACATGATGCAAGAGGCGGCCACTTTGAGGCTCGAGGCTTTGGAGGAGGCTGATCCGTCCCGGGCTGGCCAACTGGAGGACCGGGCAGACGAGTTGGACGAGGAGGCCGAGGCTCTGATCAAGGAAATGCTCCCGCTCAAGACAAAGCAGAGCGAGCTGGCGGACAGGGTGCGGCTGCTGGAGCTCAAGATCAAGGGCCATACGGAGGTGATTGCCAAGATTGATAAAACGCTCAAGAAACAGCAGGAACCGGCTGGGGGACCCTCATACTTTGCTCAGGGCTATGAGGAGGCCATGGCGGATGAAGGTGGTGCTGGTCCCAATCGCAATGATGGTGCTAACGACAGTGATGATGGCGATGATGGTGGCGATGGTGGTGGCGGAGGTGGTCCAGGTAGAACCTTTGATGGAGTGAACGATTCTGACGAGGACGACAACGACGGTGGTGGTGATAACAACAACGACAACAAACCCGACACCGCCACCGACCCCGAACCCACCCCCCAACGACGCACCACCCGCTCCGGGCGCGTAGTCAGACCGGTCAGCCTCTACTCCCCAACCAATAACTACAACGCCACCCAGCAAGACTCGCAAACCCCGAGGAAAAAACCCCCTCCCAAATCACCCCCAGGCAACACCACCATCCCCCGCATCCCAACACCCCCTCCACAAACTGGTCAAAAACGCCCCAGAAGTGACCCAGATACTGCCGTCATTAGGGAAACACCCCCGAAAAACCCCCGGGTGGGCGTGGCAGATAAAGTTGAAATCGTCGAAGTCCCCCAATCTCCAGATAAAAAGCCTCCCTGGGTAAACCCCCGAATCGAGATTCCTTGGACGCAACAAGAGACGGTCCCAGCTACGCAGTATTCAAGTGAGGGGGGTGATGAGGTTATTCCTGCCACACAGCAGCCTGAGGGGAGTAGTGAAAAGAAGAAGAGGAAGACGAGGAGGACGAAGGTGCCCAGTCCTATTGTGACAAAGGAGAAAAAGGGGAAGGCAAGGAAGGTGTCAACCCCGACGAAGCCAAAGTCTTCGCCTGGCAAGGTGCCGGAAGCGCCGAAAAAAACAAAAAAGACGCCGGGAAAGCGGGAGTTGGAGCAGCAGGTGACGCCGACTCCGAAGAGACGGGCGGTGGGACGGCCGAGGAGGTATGAGTAGGGTGGGAAGTTTTGGGCTACCTCGACAGTTTTGTTTTTGGATTGAGATGATGGGGTTTGGAAAGGGTTAGATGATGTCTCATATTTTGAATTGGATAAAAGGAACTTTTCATTGGATATTCTCTCTGTCTTTTGGATATTTTGGTTGGAATAAAACTCTCTTTTTATCTCTCTCGCACGGTAGCCAGCTCAAACAACAAGCCGATGCAAGTTCTTCCTTCACATGTGTCTTGTCGTGCTTGTGCAAAGCGATACACATTTGCCCCAATGGAGCTTCATAAAACAAGCTTATCAATCGTGAAAAGATCAACATCGCCTGCATGTACGCCGTCATTGATCGAGATCTCGTCTCCATGCACTCCTTCTCGGCAGTCACAAGTACCTTGCATCAAATCCCATACCTGGTGCATGGGAACCACAGCGGAAGGATTCAATGCAACTTTACACTTGAAGGATCCGAACCAGCCTACACAGCACAGCACATTTAGAATTACACTCAGGTCAAATCAAAGCCACAGAAACTCTATTCAACCTCTACCCAAACAGAAAACTACATCCAAAAAGCTCCAACCTTACTCCTCCAAATCCCTAATCTTCAACACCGCCTTCCCAAAGTTCTTCCCCTCCAACATGCCCACCAACCCCTCGGCCGCATTGTCAATCCCCTCAGTAACACTCAGCTTAGCCTTGTAGCTCCCCTCAGCCAACCACTCCTGCATCTTCCTCTGGTGCTCCTCCCCATACTTATCCGCAAACCCCTTGTCATAAACAATAAAGCCCCTCATCATGATCCTCTTGCTCACCACCTTGAACAGATTCTTGACCCCATACTTTTGTTCGTCAGGAACACTGTACTGGCTAATCATCCCGCAAGCAATAATCCTTCCATGCTGGTTCATCGCCTCAATCGCAGCCTCGAGCTGCTCCCCACCGACATTCTCAAAGTAAATATCCACCCCATCCGGCGCGAGCCGCTTGAGGGCATCAAACGGGTTTTCAGTCTTGTAGTTGAACCCCCCATCAAACCCAAGCTCGTTGAGGATAAAATCGAGTTTCTCATCTGAACCAACCGATCCAATAACCCTGAGTCCCTCCCGCTTAGCAACCTGCCCAACAACCTGCCCAACCGCGCCCGCAGCAGAACTGATGAAAATCGTCTCCCCTTTCTTCGGCTGCCCAATCTCATGATACGAACTCCAAGCCGTCAACCCCGGCATCCCCAACGGTCCCAAAAACAACCCTAGGTCCTTCCCAATCTTGGAGTTCTTGATATCAACCCTGCGCCTGATCGTTCCGTCTTTAAGCTGGTCAGCACTCAAGTGGGCGTATTCCGCCAGGGGGAGGTAAGCAACGATCAGATCCCCCTCGGCAAAGTCAGGGGTATCAGAGCGGATCACTTTGGAGACGGTGTCGTTGGTGATGGGCTCGCCGACTAGGAAGGGCGGGGAGTATGACTTGATGGAGGGGTCGCGCATCTTTCCGCGGAGGTAGGGGTCATAGGAGGCGGAGAGGACGGCGACGGTGAGGCCTCCTTTGGGGGGTTTGAGGTCGAAGGGGACGGGTTCGACGGCGAGGTGCTCCCCTGGGATGGGGGCGTTGGTGGGGACTTTTTTGAAGAGGAGGGTTTTGTTTTGAACTTTGTCGGACATTTTGGCGGTTTGTTTGATGTAAGGGGTAAGGGTTGGGTTTGTTGATGATGGTGTGAAGGGGTTGTTATTCTCGTGATGATGGCGGTGATGGTGAGGTGAAAACGAGGGGCAGATGCTGGTGTTTATATCGTGATCCGACCTGGAAAGCTCGGCGGGGTATCCATGGCCAGTTGGTGACGTTTTTCGACGTCACTTGGTGGTGGTGGATCCCGCGGGAGAAGGACGCAGAAGATGTTGGGTGGATGAAGACACCCACATCGGGTGGGGTTGATGCCAAGATCCGAGGCATCTATTTCGACATCGAGACTAGTCCAGTAGAAGGATTGGTAAGCCGATTTTGATTCATCAGCTTCCATCTTGCTGCGTACAAATACGGCCGCCCGCGGACTGCTGAATATTATGATCTGACTTTTCAGGTTGTTTGAGTCGACCACCATCCCAGTCTCTGGTCCCTAGCTGCGAAGGTTTCGTGCAAATTCGCGCCCGATTCTCTCTTGCAAGTCGCTGCGCGTCCCCTTGTAGTCATTCCCAGTCAGTCGGCCCTGTAGTTCGTGGAATCTGTAGAGCTGCTTCGGCTCAAGTAGTCCATGCCAGAGTTCGCCCACCTCAATTTTCTTATAGAACAAGTAACTGTCGTATGGTCCAATATCACGAGCAAAGGCATAGTGCATTCTCTTCTCTTTCACCTCGATACCCTCTTCTTCTCTCTTCCCACGAGCCTCCTCTTCGTCCAACCGAGCCTGTTCTTGCTCCATGAGAATCACATCGTCGCGCCGCTCAAGAAAGCCTGGGCCGTAGAAAGACCCTCCCCATGTGGGCGACTTGTCCATCAGGTAAGGTAAGCTATGCCATAATCGACCTGGATCTGTAACCATTTTTCGAGTAGTTCCTTATTACCACGACAGCCTAGATAACTGTACATCCCCTCAAGCACCTCATCTGGAATGCCTGCTATGGGACTTGTCACTGCCTTCATCATTAAGCTGTAAGGCTTTGACTGTTTGAGTCCATGAGTTATGATGGCAGCCATGTTGAAGAAGTCCGTTTTGATGCATCCAAAACACCGGGAGGGCAGGAAACGCTGGCGGTTGTCCTTGAACCGTTCTTCGGCCAACGTCGGCGGGAGCAGGTCTGCCACCACAGTCTTGAGTAAGGTCATAACCCCTATCTGGTCTTTGAACCCGAGGTTCGCGCGGTACTGTTCAAATGGAAAGCCATCCGGTCAATACGGGATCTCGTAAGTAACGAGACAAGCTTGGCACTTGCCAGCAGTGAACCTGATCTCCAGGCAGCATATCGGACACCGATATGTTGGATAGGTGCGGTCCGGTAGGGCAGCATGGGAAGAGTGGGAGGATTCTGGTGACTAGGAATCTCGGGGGCCATTCTCTGGAGCATCATTCTGTGGGATCTGAGGTCGATCTTCGACTCGAATGAGCCGAACTTCACCCCTTGCTGCACGTCTCCTACCGACATCATTCATGTACTCCTCCCAGCATTCACGGCAAAACATATGCCCGCAAACACGAAAGACGCCCTTCTTCGCCTCATTTCGTTGAAAGTCCGACAATCGTCTCTTGCGCTTGTTCCCAGCAGGCGGAGAAGGTTCCGGCACCGGCTCCTGATCGATAAAGGCAGCGATATAGCACGTACATATGATACACCGCACAAAGGGCTTTGGCTCGTTGGCGGAGGTTTCGTCGACGTCAAGTCGTCTTAGATCCTGGAACAGGTCCTTGCCTCCGGGATCCCCTTTCTTCTGTGGAGCAGAGGGGTTGGGTGGTAACGGCGGGGCAAGATTGCCGGTGTCGGCCTCGTCTTCGCTGCCTGGAAGGTAAAGATTGAGGCCGGGCGGCTTTGACGGCCCCGAATCCGATGGTTGGTAGGTCGGATCTCTTTCCTGTGCCTGAGCCACAGCATCGGCGATCTATTCGCTCCTCTCCTGGTTTCTCTGGGATTGATTTGTGTCCTGGCTTGGTGTACAATCTGCCGTTAGGTCATCCTGATCAAGGGCAAGTCACAGCGGCCATTGGCGACCCCAATTCGCAGGCACATAGTGGTGGTCATCCCCGATCCACCATTGCCTCCCAACGGGTGAGTGCAAAGGTGAGGCCTGCGCTGGTGGAAGGTTGGGCTTCCAGTAGAAGGATGTTTGCTCCATGGGTTGTCTTGGGTTGGGGTGATGAACGGGTTCAAAAAATTGCATGCTTCAAGTCTGAACTCTCATGCTTCATACTGCTCACCCATAATTCTCATCAGCTTCCTTTGTTCAACCGGAAAGAGGTAATATTCCACTGCATTTCTGAACAGGAGGGAAAGAAACAATAGAGTCGCGCAAAAAGGGGCTCGGCTGAGTCATCCGCCTACCTTGGGCAAGTGCTCGCCATGTCATGCTGTGATTAAGGTTTTGGCCAGAGGACGATAGTGTGGAGCTGAATGCGTTCTCCGGCCTGGGGTATTCTGCTGCCACGCAGAAGGCAGAAGAGGCTTGCAGTCTTTTCTCATTCAAACATCATCAGCATCAACTAGCAATTATGGCACCACACGACACCCCAAACAACCCCGACCTGCGCAACATTGACCCGCTTCTCTATAGGCACATGCAACCGACAACACACAATCCGACGAATGTTCCACAGCCAACACACCCACCAAATGATTATTCCAACCCCCCGCCCGTCAGGGCACCAACATCGTCTCTCCCCGGGCACCATGTATCAGTCTCCTTTACTCCAGGACATTGCCACGTGCCGTCCGAGCAGCCATACCCACCACCTGTATATCTGGGCCACCACCAGCCAACAGCCTCACGTCCGGCGTATGCCTAACTCAACAACAATACCAACAGTTCACCTCCTCAACCCAACCACCAACCCAGCAAACATCTGCCGTCAACCCCATAACCCCAAGAATAACCCCCCAAACCATCACCCGCAAAAGCAACAACCCCCCCGGCCGGATAATCCACACCCTCCTCCCTCCCAAAAACCACATCATCCGCCCCGACACTCCCATCAGACCCTTCATCCTCTCCCTCCCGCTCGGCGCCCCCTTTCACAAGCGGTACAAGGCCCTTTTGCGCTGCACACGCAAACAAGGAAGCGCGCTCATGGAAAAGTTCAACGCTGGCCCGTATTTATATTAACGGGAT